CTCTATCTTGCCACATCTATGTTGTTTAAGAGTTTAGACTATTCATACTCTATCTTCCAGTTAGTGCCGGAGTACCTTAAAGTGGTCCCTACACGGTCAATATTATTGATACGAGATAATGACTCCCATTATTGGGCAATATGCACACCCCCTACATGGCTCAATAGTATTACGCAAAAATCTGTCAGTACGACACCCACGCTCATAGAGGCAACGTGGCAAATGCAGATGTGGCATGTATAGCCATTGCATTAGCTTTCTGAGTTCAGAAAAAAAGCGTCGGTGGATGAAACACGAAAAGATATAAATATAGCCATGAAAATTCGCTAAAGGATACAGCCAAGACTTCCTCTGTCAGGATCAACTATATTTTACCTCCAAGAAACTCCTAGCATTTTATAATAGCCATCTTCACCTCCATATCAAGTGTTGCGTGTCTGTGATTCAACATCTACGGTCTTAAGTAGGAAAACTAGTCAGCTCCTACACTAGAACACCAAGTTCGAAGGAAGATATATATTTTTGGGAGTAGCCACAGTCCTACTTATAACTGTTAAACAAAATGCAATCTAAAGGTATTTTCTCACTTCCTGCACATCTCCCCTCCATGTCAGATGATCCGCTCCATCACTCTCTCTTTTCTGCTCCTTATCTCCCTGGTCAGCGCACCAATGAATACAATCCATCATCCCCCCCTCCCCTCCTCTCAATCTCAGTCGCAGCACACGTCATTCTTTATCATGCCACCCTTACTGCATTCAGGTTCATCATCATAATTCACCTCCCTCAGTCCTCGCGATTCTCGATTATGGAGTCCCCTTCTGTCTCAAATCGCTACATCCTCGTCCAACCATCTGTACACTTCTTTATAGGAACAGGTATGGTATGACCTCAAATCTTTAAAACAGAAAAAACAAAAATACTTTGATTTAAATCTTTCTTATTCATTATGTACAAATGAACCGAACCGAAACCCAAACCCAAAACCAAATCCGAAACCAAACCCGAAACCAAACCCGAAACCAAACCCGAAACCAAACCCGAAACCTAACTTAACCAAACCTAACCTACCTTAATTTAGCGTGAATATAAGACACCCTGAAAGTAATAATACCTTTAGAGATACATTGCCTTGTGTATCTCTCCTGACACAAAGGTAATAACAGTAATAATGGCGTGATGATGTAGATACTGCTATGGTCATGATGCTATAAAGAGAGTTACTACCGTTTTGATGCAGTAAAGTGTGTTATTAACTTGATGCTGTAAAATGTGTTATTAACTTGATGCAGTAAAGTGTGTTATTAACTTGATGCTGTAAAATGTGTTATTAACTTGGTGCTGTAAAATGTGCTATTAATCTTGGTGCTGTAAAGTGTGTTATTAACTTGATGCTGTAAAATGTGTTGTTAACTTGGTGCTGTAAAATGTGTTATTAATCTTGGTGCTGTAAAATGTGTTATTAACTTGGTGCTGTAAAATGTGTTATTAACTTGATGCTGTAAAATGTGTTATTAACTTGATGCTGTAAAATGTGCTATTAATCTTGGTGCTGTAAAATGTGTTGTTAACTTGGTGCTGTAAAATGTGTTATTAACTTGGTGCTGCAAAATGTGTTATTAACTTGGTGCTGTAAAATGTGTTATTAACTTTGTGCTGTAAAAGTGTTATTAACTTGGTGCTGTAAAATGTGTTATTAACTTGGTGCTGTACATCACTGGAGAAATAATTACAAATTGTATCACTGATAAATAATTCCCGAGTGGTATTACGGAAAGTATATTTACAATTACATTCCCACTTCTATGTTAAGTAAATTTACGGAGTCACAATTATGATCAGTGACGTTACGAGGAAGACAGAGCACAAACTCATTCCTCAAGTTAGCAAATGAATCTCAAGGGCTTTAGGGAACAGTCCCCCTCACGGTCATAAGAGACGATATGGCCCATATAACTTGCCATAGTGTGGAGGGAAATTTACTGAAATTATCCAACTTATCTGAAACCTTGTTGGGTTACGTTTGTCCACCAAGTTCTATCGAAATCAGTGTTCAGGTGTACTAATTTGAGCGTCTACAAGATAACCAAAACACCCACGTAAACACACACACACACACACACACACACACACACACACAAACACAACCACTCAAACACACTCTCTCACACTTGCACATGCACACACTGTCTCTCTCTTACACTCACACACACATTCACTCTCACAAACTCACACTCTCACATACACCCACACGCTCTCTCATACACCCACGCTCTCTCCTTACACCCCACACGCTCTCTCCTTTTACCCACACGCTCTCTCATACACCCACACACATATGAAAGGATGAATGGTTACTACTCCTACATCCCCCTCAAGAGACGACGAGGTATTGCCAGAGTCTCGAGTGGACCCATCAAGACGGGTTGACTTAATCTTACTTGGTAGTGGTTGGCTGAAGATGATGGCCAGAATGAAGTTTAGTTGTGAGTTAGTGTGATGATGCGCTCTCTCTCTCTCTCTCTCTCTCTCTCTCTCTCTCTCTCTCTCTCTCTCTCTCTCTCTCTCTCTCTCTCGTAGGAGGTGATCAATGGTCTTGGATGCTGGGTTGGTCTGGGTGGGGCTAGAGGAGACTGGTCGATGCTTGGTCGTAACATCCAGAGGACTGTCAAGGCAACTTCGGACAAGCCGCAGTTGGTCGTAGTTAGTCGAGGGTGGTGATGGGAGTTGGACAAGTGGGAGTTTTCAGGTCGGGCCGTGGTGGGCCGTGGTGGGTCGAGGTGTAATGTAGTGCATAGTAGTGAGTCGAGATTAGTCGAATTGGAATAAAGTTGGTCGTGGTGGGGATGGGTGGATTGTGATGGGTTGTGGTGGGGATGGGTGGATTGTGATGGGTTGTGGTGGGTCGTGGTGGGTCGAGGTGGGTCGTGGCGGATCGGGATGGGTAGGGGTGGGTCTTGGTGGGTAGGGGTGGAGTCTGGGTGGGTCGAGTTTTGTCGAGATGAAATAGGGTTCATTGTGGTGGGTTGTGGTGGTTCAGGGTGGGTTGTGGTGGTTCAGGGTGGGTCGTGGTGGGTTGTGGTCGGTCGTGGTGGGTTGTGGTCGGTCGTGGTGGGTTGTGGTCGGTCGTGGTGGGTTGTGGTGAGTAAGGGTGAGCCGAGGTTAGGTTAGGTTATAAGCGAGTTCGTTTAGATTAAGTTGGTTTAGATTAGGGTAGGGTAGGTTAAGTTAGATTAACTTAGGTTAGGTCAAATCAGGTCAAGGTAAACTAGATTAAAGTAGGATATGTCAAGGTCGTTTAGGGTAGGTTAGCTGCTATTAATTTAGGTTAGGGTAGGTTAAGGAAGGTTGCATTCGTTTAGTTTATGTCAAGTCAGGCAACAATACGACCCAAGGAAACCATAACAACACAGAATATCCTCCAATACAAAGCCTTGTTACTGTTGCATCATAAGATACAAAAATAACCCTTTAATGCGATAGATATTAATATTAGACACACAAATGTTTACATAAATCACATTCAATTGAAATCACGAGTCATTGTGGAAATTAGGATACGACACTTGGGGGGGCAAAATGTACTGGTTAATCTCAGTATCACTCCGTAACACACGCTGGAGCTCCCGTTAATGCACAAAGTTGGACCAGCTACACCCTTCCAAATGAGGAGACAGCCAATTCGCTTTCACTGTTTCGGTCTCAGTATTCTCAAAGGCTAGAATGTTGAATTTCCCTCGTAAATGAAAACGTAAGAAAGGATAAAATTTATTCGACTGTAAATATTAAAAAAAAGTTAATATTGATATAAAAATCATACTGAGAGCTTATCTTAATTACATACATTCACAAATCTTTACTTGGAGTGATAATCTACCTTAATTACATACAGTAATACTATATAGGTGACAAAAATAACTTCCAACAACTACCTTAACTATATACGTTCAATTACCACCGTGTAGGGAATAAAACTCACCATCCTATAAGCTATCTTAACTAGACACGTTCACTTACGACAACACAAAGAACGTAAATTAACTTCAAATGCCACTATGTTAACCCCATACGTTCACTTAACACCGCGAGGGGAAACAATAAATTTCCAAAGAGATTCTACCTAAACTAAAATACATTCATTTAGCAACAAACAGAAGACAAAACTTATGAAATTTTTGTCAATCCCGACCTACCCTGGCCTTCATAGTGGCACTGTGTATCCCGACCTACCCTGGCCTTCATAGTGGCACTGTGTATCCCGACCTACCCTGGCCCTCATAGTGGCACTGTGTATCCCGACCTATCCTGGCCCTCTGTGGTGGCACTGTGTCCACATTTCCGTGGCCTTCATAGTGGCACTGTGTATCCCGACCTACCGTGACCCTCATAGTGGCACTGTGTATCCCGACCTACCCTGGCCTTCATAGTGGCACTGTGTATCCCGACCTACCGTGGCCCTCGCATTCATAGTACGACCAACAAATGACGTGTCCGTGACGTCATCGACAAGGAAACTCCCGTGCCTGTGTCAATAATGAGTGTCGTAAAACCAATAATGTTGTTGATAATGTGTGTGTGTGTGTGTGTGTGTGTGTGTGTCATCACCTTACAACCACCGAGTCCCTTCAGCTCACCATCATGAGTCATTTCATCTTGACATCACTGATTCACTTCACCTCGCCATCATGAGTCACCTCACCATCACTAATTCACCTTACCTCGCCACCATGAGTCACTTCATCTCGCCACCATGAGTCACCTCACCTCGGCGTGATGAGTCATTTCATCTCGCCACCACTGAGTCACATCATTTCCACTCGCACAAAAAATTTCAAACTCTGCTTCAACTTTTCACCAACTAATTACAAGTGATGGGAGATAATACTTTCTCTCGAGGGAGTAACGAAGGATATTTTCTCCCGAAGGATTGATTAAATAGGTTGTCTCCCAAGAGAGGAACTAGGATAGGTTAGGGCACGTTAGCACTTGTTTATACTCACCTATGAAGTAGTTGGTGCCGACCTGGAGGTACCTGGGAGACACGGTGACCACGCCCTCAGGTCCACTCTCCCCCACCTGCGACCCCTCACGTGTGCTGCAGGACGCCCACTCCGCCACACTCGCCTGTTAGGATAAACACGAGGATTAACAACTGCCAGCGACACCTGTACTACAGTAAGTGGCGGCAGCCCAAGTGTTTCGAGCCATATTGGTTTTTACTGATTAATACGATATATTTTTTGAAGATATTTCCTGTCGTACAAGTCGCCGAACCTAACCTAAAGTGATCTAATGTAACCTAACGTAACCTAATCTGACCTAACATAACCTAATCTGACCTACCATAACCTAATCTGACCTAACATAACCTAATCTTACGTTTTATTACTTCCAATCCGGATATACAGTATATACACGTGCATTGAATATAAGAAATTAGAATATATTAGAAAAAAATAAAGGTTAGTATCCACAAGATGTTAAAAATATCTCACGGGATCACCTGAAGATTAGACACCACAGCTTAGTTCACCCGAATATTACCTGGGGGGGGGGGGGTTGTTAGGTTAGCGTTAGGATGGTTAATGTTCAGGTGAAATAAGCTGCGGTGACTCATATACATGTGATCCATTTCTCGTAACACACAGAAGGGACGAGACATGAAAAGTAAAGCTTTATTTCTCAAGGTGTGTGTGTGTGTGTGTGTGTGTGTGTGTGTTATATACATACGTATATACAACAGTTATTATAAGGCGGACCATAATGACACACAACACAACTTGCACAATAGAAAGCTCGAAGGTTCGTAAGTCTAAACGGACATCAAGGGTAAAGTTGATCTTATGATGAACTTTAACCTTCCTCAGATATGATTCATAATTCACAAACTACAGCTCAATTGTCTTTGAATTCATATAACATGAACTTATCTTAAACTTAAACTAGACAAACTCATTTTTCTCTCAGCTGTCTCTAAACTCACCTGGTGCCATATTTTCATTATCTTCCTTCAGGAGATTTACAATAATAAAGACGATTATAATTCCCCTCCTACACCGCCTCACCCTCCAGGCTGGGGTTGTGACCAAGTAAATAGAAACAAATTAAATACTTTGAATGACTCTTATCAGGAGACACTACAGTAGAAATATAGAAGTGTACCTTACATATCCTTAGGAATAAATGACCTTTAGTAATCATGAGAGATCAGAGAGATAGAATTGTACGCAGGAGATAGTGAAATACATGGATAAACTATAGAGGTAGAGTTTTATTGTATCTTCCGGATAGTGAGGAAGGAAAGAGCCTCAAGTCACACAAGAGTGTTAGGAGACTTGTGAGTGTGATAGTAAAGGATAAGGGAGTCTTAATAGGGCGGGCGGCGTCACACTGGCACTTTTTGCGTAATTTTTTTAATCAACTTTCCTCGGATTGTCATTTTTCTAAGCGCACCCTGTCACACACACACACACAGAACCAGCACGCCCTGTCACACACACATAGAAACCAGCGCGCCCTGTCACACACACACACACACACATTTAGAATCAGAGCACGTCATTCCGTGTTCTTCAAGTGTAAACACAAGCGCTCCTTAAGTAAACAAACATATCAGATGCATTTAGGAATACCAACACCACGTAATAGATGTACACTTGAGAAATTTATAAAAAATGCGATACCAAGTTATTTTACATTTAAATTAGTTATTTTACGTGACTCGATATATTCTTTTACATAACTATCCTCATCGAATATAAATCTTGACATGACCACAGAAATTGGCGCAAGCCAATTAGGCAAAAAGATACATTTCATCTGAGCTATGGTATGCTCGAGAAAATATGACAACTCGTGGAAAAACGACAGAAAATGGGAAAGCTGACAGAAAAAATGCAGTGTTACGCCGCCTTTAGTTTAGCAGACACTACAGGGACACACCTATATCATCCACACAGTGAGGAGAAATGAGTGATAGTGACAGTAGCAGTGATAGTGACAGTAGCAGTGATAGTGACAGTAGCAGTGATAGTGACAGTAGCAGTGATAGTGACAGTAGCAGTGATAGTGACAGTAGCAGTGATAGTGAGAGTCAGTGACAATGACAGTAATGTTGAAACTGACGATGAAAATGGCAGTGAAAATGATGTTGACTAAGACAGCTTAGTTAGTTCAGGATACACTAGGAAGGCATCACTGTACAGTACCTTCCAGATAGTGAGGGGAGAGGAGGACGTCTGGTTTCCTGCCTCGGCCATAACGGAAGTTGAAGTGGGATCTTCCTCCCCGTCTTCCTCAGCCGAGTTCTCCCCCCCACTCTTGGAAGCCAGCTGAAGTCTTACGACCCCGGGAGGCTTCCTGGTGGTGGTAGGAAGTTGTGGGAAGTGAGGTGCGCCGCCCACAACTTGTCTCTTCTTCCTCCTGGTGGGGGCTAGCTGCGGGTGTGCTGGGTGGTCCTCGCGACTGTAGAGATGTGTGTTATTGATGGCTTGTGGTTGTGAGGGCTGAAGAAGTTGTGACTGTTGTGGCTGTGGTTGTTGGTCAGGTGGTGAGGGCAATGAGGGCTCCTCTTGCGGCTGATGAGTGGCTGGATGTAGTGGCCAGCTCGTGGTGACCTGTTGAGGCACACAAAAAGTAAAGTTAAATACTGTTGGTCCCCAAACACACTGGGTCAGTTATTCAACTGATGGTGGTATTAGAATCTACTGACATAAGGACTATTATATAATATTTTGAAATTTTTTGCGTGTGCGTGTGCGCGCGCGCGTGCGTGTGTGTGTGTGTGTGTGTGTGTGTATTGTTCGTCGAGTCATTTTACATTTTAAAGGTCTACTACAGTATACAGCACGACTAACCTGAAAATATGATCGTTAATACAATTTACAGCGATATTTTTTTCATGTCATTACGATAAGGAGACAAATATTTACAGAATGTTTAAAAATAATGTACAGTATACGCACTTCTTTATAGAGTTCTGTATAGATCGCGAGTGTGTTTGTATTACAACAGCAAAACTGTCCTTACTTGCGGGAGACCTCGCACAGCAACTAGTGAGAATAAATGTTTATAGAATTCAAGGTTTATAGAATTAAATTCTCTAATCAAACTTGCTTCAACCAGAAGTCTTTCTGTGACACATGATGATTTATATACTTCGAAGCTGTGTACATAAGCCTCTCTCAGTCCTTGTAATTCAGTTGCCTCTGAATTTGTCTTGAATATAGACGAAAGCTAAGGTGCTCCGTTGTTTCCCTTTTTCCTGTGTGATTTTATCAAGATTTATCTTATCCACGTTTCCATTGTGGATCTACATGATATATAGTTTTATTATTCATTTATAGAATTTCCACATAGATGATATAGAAAAAGATCAAAGTACTGTGATGAATAAATTATATGCTGTAACGGTTAGGAAATATATGAACAACGAGTCACTCTTTCTGTAGTTCAGGAAGGTTGTTAGAGCCGTACACAACCAATATACAAAAATTAAATTGCAATTCCCTCTCAACTTTGGTAGAAATATGTGTTTTCATCAGCAGTACACACAGAAATATGTACTATTTTTTTAAAACCCATTCAGTAAAGTCTGATAGTAATATTACATCAAATATTAGGGGAGGAGCAGCTGCTGAGTGGCTAGAGCGCTCGCCTCCTGCACTATGGGTAGCTGATTCGAGCCCCATGGCCGACCATGAGTGAGGTGCCCCAGTGGACCCAGCTGCAGAATAGGTGATATCTTAGTTTTTGGTGCTTCAACTACTAAAGTTACCGAACATTCCCCCATCAAGTAATAGATTTAGATACTTCAGCTCCCATAAAACATCGTTCATCTAATAGTTTTACAAAACAGAAATGGCACAAAGTTTCAAAATATTAATTAATAATTACTCTCTCGTTCGTTATACTCGTACATTGTTTAGTGGAGCACTGCCCGTTAATACTATTGGTCGATCACCTTGTTGATGTTCTTCACTTGTCTTGGGGCTTTTTGTTCCTCTTGAATTTTACTTTAGTGCCTGATATTTGAGACATTGAGATTTTGAAAAATTAAGGGCTTGAGAGCTCGAGGGCTTTGGAGGTCCAAGGGCTTAAGGGCTGGATAACTTAAGTATTCGAGGACTTAAGAACTTGAGGGATCATGGACTTGAATGAGAACTCGAGGACTTAAGAACTTGAGACCTCGAGGGCTTAATAACTAAAGAGCTTGAGGTCTTCAATGTTTGAAGGCTTGAGATGAGACGTTCACTAAACGTTAGTGTGTCGCTGTACACAGAACTGTCCTGTATCACCACGAATTTCCATGAAACACTACTAATACTCTCTCTGCAACACTGCTACTCTCCCTGCGACACTGCTACTCTCCCTGCGACACTGCTACTCTTCCTGCGACATCATAATCTCCCTGCGACACTGCTTGCCTCCCCTGCGACACACTGCTCTCCCCTGCGACACACTGCTGCTCTCCTGCGACACTGCTGCTCTCCCTGCGACACGTTGCTCTCCTGCGACACTCTGCTGCTCTCCCCTGCGACACTGCTGCTCTCCCTGCGACACTGCTGCCTCCCTGCGACACTGCTGCTTCTCCTGCGCAGACACGTGTTACATTCTCCCTCAACACTGGCGTTACATTCTCCCCAGACTGTTATTTCCTCCTTGCAACACTGGTTAGTTTCCTGTAACACTCGTTATTTCCTGTAACAACATCATATATTCTTCCCTGTACCGTTACTCTCCCTGCAACACTGCTACTCTCCCTGCAACACTGCTACTCTCCCTGCAACACTGCTACTCTCCCTGCAACACTGCTACTCTCCCTGCAACACTGCTACTCTCCCGGTTGAACCACTGTTACATCAGCTAGTCATCGGACGTGGAAATTACCGGATTAGGGAGGAAATCTGCCATCATGTAACTAATGACCAGGGTTGATACTCATAAAACACCTGCCCTTGATGGCTGAGGAAGGGAGGGACACACACACAGACACACATGTATCGCTGTATCAGGGGCGGAGATCTCATCCTGCTCTCTCTCTCATAATTCATTGGCCAAGGCTCTCTTCTCATTCTCCTTCACTCATGTATCACTATCACGGGGCGGGGCTGTTCTCTCATCACGGGGCGGGGCTGTTCTCTCATCAGGGGGCATAGGGTCTCTCTCTAGTGATGACTCGCTCTCTCACGCATCCCCGGGAGACGATCAACTCTCCACACCGAGCAGCTTGTTGGGGCGTGACAGTCGGTACCATTTTACCCCGCATGAAAATAACCGATCATAACAATTGTGTAGTTTTGGTGGTGATGGAGGTGTTGTGGTCGTAGTGGTATTTTGGTTATGGTGGTATTGTGAGTGATGATTGCGATGTTGTGATGAGTGGTGGTTGTGGTGGTGAGAGGTGATTGTGGTTGCTGTGGTGAACGGAGGTGGTAGTGGTGGTGGTAGGTAGTGGTGGTGGTAGGTAGTGGTGGTGGTGGTTATGGCAGTGGTCATAGTGGTTGTGGAAATGGTGGTAGTGGTTGTAGCAGTGCTGTTAGTGGTTGTAGCAGGTGGTAGCGGCTATGGCGGTGGTGGTTGTAGCAGAGGTTGTGTTAGTGGTGGTAGTGATTGTGGCAGTGATTGGTAGCTGCTATGGTGGTGGTGGTAGTGGTTGTGGCGGTGGTGGTAGTGGTTGTGGCGGTGGTGTGGTGGCATGGTGGTTTGTAGCAGTGGTGGTTACCTAAGCAGTGTAGTATTAGTAACTGTGTGTGCAGGTAGTGGTGGTGCATGTGGTGGAGTAGTGTTGGGTGGCGATAGTAGTGGTGATAGTGGTGGTGCATGGTGGTGGAGTAGTGTTGGGTGGTGTAGTAGTGTTAGGTGATGCAGGGGTGGAGTAGTGTTGGTGGTGATAGTAGTGTTAGTGGTGATGCATGTGGTGGAGTGGTGTTGGGTGGTGATAGTAGTGGTGATAGTGGTGGTGCATGGTGGTGGAGTAGTGTTGGGTGGTGTAGTAGTAGGTGAGTGATGCAGGTAGTGGAATAGTGTTGGGTGGTGATAGTAGTGTTGGTGGTGGTGGTGGTGATAGTGGGGCTGGTGGGTGATAGTAGTGGTGATAGGTGGTGGTGCATGTGGTGGTGGGAGGTGTTGGGTGGTGTAGTAGTGTTAGTGGTGATGCAGGTAGGGGCAGTGTTGGTGGTGATAGTAGTGTTAGTGGTATGTAGTGTTGGGTGGTGTTGTGTAGTGTTAGTGGTGGGTGGTGGTGGAGTAGTGTTGGGTGGGTAGTAGTGTTGTGGTGATGCATGTGGTGGAGCAGTGGTGGTGCATGGTGGAGTAGTGTTGGGTGGTGTTGTAGTAGTGTTAGTGGTGGTGCAGGTGGTGGAGTAGTGTTGAGTGGAATGATAGTAGTGTTAGTGGTGGTGCATGGTGGAGTAGTGTTGGTGGTGTAGTAGTGTTAGTGGTGGTGCAAGAGTGGAGCAGTGTTGGGTGGTGATAGTAGTGTTAGTGGTGGTGCATGTGGTGGCGTAGTGTTGGGTGGTGATAGCAGTGTTAGTGGTGGTGCAGGTGGTGGCCTAGTGTTGGGTGGTGATAGTAGTGTTAGTGGTGGTGCATGTGGTGGAGTGGTGTATTGTTGGTGATAGTGTAAGTGGTGGATTAGTGTTAGTGGTGGTGCAGGTGATGGAGTAGTGGTGATAGTAGTGTTAGTGATGATAGTAGTGGGGTAGTGTTAGTGTACAGTAGTGTTGGTACAGTAATACAGTACATAAAAAAAAGCAATACGAAGTATACCAGCGACCATATTGTTTTACAAGTAAAACATGAACGTCATATCTCTCACAACACGAATGAACAATGCTTATGAGCTGTGAGTGAAAAAGTAAAAGGATATGTGAGCGATAGATGCAAAAATAAAATGGTGAATATTTAAAAATGTATTCAGGAATATACTATGAGAGGAGTGGGGCAAGGAATATACATATTCATAAAGCGAGGGGAAGTAGTCAGGCGAGTAAATGTAAATGGTGCAGTTCTAACCCGTTACTGCCGCAGCGAAAATAACGTTTCAAAGCTAAGCTTAAAGGACGCGCCGAAAATACTCAGTTCAGAAGCAAATTTAACGAGATATTGGAGGAAGTGGCGAAACGGATTGTTTTGTAGGCATAGGTAAAGCGACAAAGGTCATTCAGACGTGGGCCGAAGCCACTGGAAAGTTACAAAGCTGGAGCCGAAGCCAGTCATTTAAAAAAATCATAAGTCGTGAAGCCGAAACCAAAGCTGAAGCCAGGGTTTTACAAAACTACACGAAACTTTAACACTAATACTTACATAATATACTATATTACACCACGTGAGGCCCCTCATAACACCATCTGTGAGGGAATTACTACACCACGTGAGGCCCCTCATAACACCATCTGTGAGGGAACTACTACACCACGTGAGGTTCCTCCTAACACCATCTGGGAGGGAGTTACTACACTACGTGTTTGCTGTTCAACACCTACAATAATCTGTATGTTCACTGTATGTTCCTTTACCTTTCTCTAATGAAGGCTTTTGTTAAACCACCAATGTATGTAATAAGTCATTTATGTCCAATGTATATTTTCAGCCTTCGGGCTGCAGAACTTTTTCAATAAACCGTCAATTATTATTATTATTATTATTATTATTATTATTATTATTATTATATTACCTTACATGTTAATGGAAATATCCTAGTATGTGATATTCTAAGTGGCAGCAAGGCTTTGAGATAAGCTGACTATATTTTAAGCTGATTGTTATTAGGGTAAGCTTGCTTAGAGTAACAATATACCTTTATAAATTTTATTTTATTCACCTTATCATATTATTTATTTATCATCATTAATTAATTTGTTTTATTCATTATTCATCGTCATGTTTGATCATCAAGTAAAATGAGTGAGGGTGTCTAATCTTCATGAGATCCAATACATGAATAAATAAATAATGAATTATATAAATACGGTATGGTGAACAAAAAGATTTTGTAATACGAGAAAACGTGGAAAATATATAACTGAAATATTATAAAGAAAAAAGAACGGCCATCCAAAGTGGTTTAACCCACACATCTACCCAGTCCTTTTTAACAATGACTTGACCTTTGACCTTCAGTAATGGGATAACCAGTATATACGCATGACCTTCATAGTGATCCATCTCTGAGTGTTTTGATGTTTATAATACACAACACTTCACAACCTACAAACGTTATGTCAGGTTCAAAGAGCGAATTCGCTCACTGGCGAAAAATACGACCATTTATTATGGACAATAAATTTATCAGAGCGAAGTTTCGTTCTAGACTGTCTCGAAATTCCCCTAAACTAACCGAACTCGTTGTGTCGTTGTGGCTGTTGGGAAAAACCCACGACGCGAAATTTCTCTTTCTGGGAATAATTCCGAGTCCACAATGTGTTGTGGTCGTTTTTTCCGCTCCGTGACCGAATTTGTTGTTTGAGCCTATGAGTTATACAGGTATGTAAAAATCTGGGCACTCTTGGGTCAACAAAAGAATGCCCAGGTTTCTAAAGGTTACATATTAAAATCTGAGTATATTATTGCAGAAGAGAGAGAGAGAGAGAGAGAGAGAGAGAGAGAAATGTTATCTTCCGGTTTTCATAAATATTCCTTACGATCATACAGCAAAACACATGTACTCTTAGATCCTCTTACGGTCGACGGGATCAGAAAAAATGACCTTGTTAACAGGGAACGAGAATCTCATTATATAACTCCAATGGTGTCTTTCATCCTCTGGTAATGAATTCTCGAATACAAAGTAAACACATTCACCCGGACGGCCTCCACCAGCCCCATCAGGTTCCCGGCTCAGAGACGCCACTGTCAGCAAAAATATGCGACTCTCTAACCAATTCTGTCATTCCTTGTTGATATGCATTGGATCATGTTTCACGAGAGCAGATGGTAAAATTCCTTTCATATCGTATAGGTAAAAAAACAGGTTGAACCCACCGGCACGTGCATGTGTCAAGGTAACCTGGTTTTTAATACATTTCCATTTACATCTATGTTTATTCCCGGCATCTATGGTTATGTTAAAAAATAATATGCTGTTGTACCTGTAATTTATACCTAAATCTTGGACATGTAAGTTAAGAATTTATATTTATAACAGTGTCACTAATTCATACCTGGATCTGTCATATCTAGGGTAATTCACCAACTCTCTAATACTATCACCACATGGGAATCGATTTACCTGTACTCTAAACCCAAATCCGTCGTATATGTGTTCCAGTAGTTGAGCCTTATCTCTAACTCTGTCAGTTCTACATTGAATCACCGCCGTTATGATGCTACAAGATAAGAATTATTGAAACTATAATTTAGTCCAAAATCTCTACCTGTACTAAAATTTATCTATAAAGTCACTGAAAAGAGGGAATCAGCTTCCATGCTAGAACGTAAGCAGACGCCTCCCTTACTATGTCAGGTGTAAGATTTTATCCTAAGGTACAAAACACCTATCATGTCTACAGTATATATATATCTTACTAATGCTCCACATACCTGTTAGTAAGCTCGCTCGATAGCTGCCATCAGTACGAGGTAGTTTGTTATGGCACCCCAAGAATTTTGCGTTGTTAGTAAATTCCACCAACATGACGCTACGCTCTTTATTTATTGGAAAACAGAGGATACGTACCAGCTAAACCTAAGCTAACCTAATTTAAACGTATTGAAAATATTCTAGAATCACTAGGTGAGGATAGGTTAGGTTTAGTTAGTTGTGTCGTCTGAAAAATATACAGTCTAGATCCCCTACTCGTGGTAGATTCCTAACATAGTGATTTCAGGCTACATGTTCACTGTTTGAGAGAGTCCATGGTATGATAAGCACTTGTGTTTGTTTTTTATTGATCTATGTTTGAGAGTCTGTTCCGGTGACTGTCCAACTTTTTACCCTAATGCTTCAGGGGTTCTGTCAGGGGTTCTAAATACACAGCTTACAATACCTGGTTTACGTATGACCGTTTAGTCAGGTGGTAATACTTTTTGTAAATGACATTTACAGACTGTGGTCACTTCACCATACCTGGTCTAGATACTGTTGTGTGGTAGTTTGGTCGATTGTGGTGGGGGAGGACATGATGGTGGTAGTGGCGGTGGCAGAGGCGACAACAGTGGGCGTGGTGATGGTGGTGGTGCTCTGGGTTGGTTGGGAGGAGGTGGGTGGCGTGTAATCTGGAGGCGTCTGCAGCAGCACCTCCAATTTGTCACCTCCCTGTAGGAACACTCGGCGGTGCACGGTGGTGGTGACGCTACACTTGAGGGGCGGAGTACACGAGCTGAACACCTGTGGAGAAGAAAAAAATACTTGGTGAGTACACGGTCCCCAGAGAGAAGCAAAATCAGAGAAGATTGATAAAAACAGCCAGAAAACGTTTCAAGTGGAAGGCTGCGGTCATCAACCCTTAGACACAAGGATAACATTTTTAGTGGCTGACTGAACAGTAACATGCACAAGATGTGAACGAATATCATCAATTGACAGAAATAACAGGTTCCCTTTGTCACACCTTTTCGCATCATTTTGGAAGCAATTAAGGTAATGAGGCGGAATATTCAGTTGAAAGAATATTATCATTAAGCTAACTATTCAACATGCAATATTGACGTGTGTGTCAGATGTTCCGCCTAGCAGACAGATAGGCCTTGTCGTCCCTCGGAGAATTTTCGCAAGGAATATGAAAATTGTGACCTGCATACTTGCATAGTTCCTGTGGAGAATAGATAATGAGCCTCTGAGCTTGATTAATAGGCATTCATAATTCAATGTTCGAAGGACCATTGAGCACGGGGGTGGAGGAGACTGCAGTGGGAGCGGGTAAACAAAGTGAAAGATTACAGGGAAATAGTGTTAGGAATGATGACAAAACTAAATTAGACAAGGAGTTTAAAACTAAACGCGGTAAAGGGAGGAATCAGAACACGACTAACTTAAATGTATACTACGCGAACAGTAGAAGTATGAGAAACAAAATGGATGATATTAGGGCCTTGGTATGTACCAAAAAAAATCTATATAATAACATTCACTGAAACATGGATCAACCTAGACACGTGAGTTACCAGTCGAATACCAAATTGCGGGTTACAAACTGTTCCATACCGATAGGCAGACCAGGAAAGGAGGCGGAGTAGCAATCTATGTTAGGGATAATCTGAAGTGTGAAATAAATAAGGAAATAAAAACTGAGTGGAATACAGAAACAATTTGGATAGAATTAATCGACGGTAGGAAAAAATTAATCATAGGAGTAATATATAGACCTCCCAATCTTGATAGAGTCAATGAGCGACTTATCTGGGATGAAATGCGCAGGGCTTCCATACACAACAAAGTCTGTATAGTAGGCGACTTTAACCTTGGCCAAATAGATTGGACTGACCTTACAGGTAACTCAGAATCAGAGGATTTTCTCGAGACGATCCAGGACTGTTTTCTAAGTCAACATATAACCGAACCCACACGGGGTAATAATATACTCGATTTAGTTCTGTCAAACAGAGAAAACCTCATTAGCAGTGTCGAGGTAGGAAACGAACTTGCAAACAGGGATCACAAAGAAACTAGTTTCCAGTTAGATTTTCAGGGCAGACGTAAGGAAAATTCCACTAAAGTACCAGATTTCAGTAGGGCGAACTTTGACAGTTTAAAGAGGCAGCTGAGAGAGGGGGTGTCACGCTTGGCCGTGAACCTGACAGATGACACCGACCTGATAACGAGATCTGAGATTGCCGAGTTCCACGACAATTTAAATAGTGAGTTACTTAATGCACAAAGGCAGAACATACCATACACAAAAACTCAGATCAGACAACAATGACCCTAAATGGATAAATAATTATTTAAAGAACATCATTGGCCAAAGGAAGGCTATAGGTAGAAGGATAAATCGTGGCGAAATTCACCTCCGGGACTATTATAGGGTATTGGCGAGTAGGGTTAAAACCGAGATAAGGAAAGCAAAGAGGAATGATGAGGTAAGGATAGCAAGGGAGGCGAAGACAAACCCCAAAGGATTCTACCAAATGTATCAAACTAAAACACGAAAAAAGATTGGACCAATACGGTCAGACACCGGCGAGCTCACTGATAACGACAGAAATGAGCAATAATTTGAATAAATAATTTTCAACAGTTTTCACCACCGAAAATTTAAACATGATACCAGAGGCACCGACTCTATTCAGAGATAGTGAAGAAAACAAATTAAGCGAGATAGTAGTGACTAGTAACGATGTTAGTAAGCAAATAGACAAACTAAAGCCTAATAAGTCACCTGGTCCCGATGAGATATTTGCCAAAGTATTAAAGGAATGTAAGGAAGAGCTTAGTATGCCCTTAGCAAAGTTGTTTAACATGTCCTTAAAAACAGGTGTAGTACCAGAATCCTGGAGGATAGCGAATGTAATACCGATTTTCAAGAAGGGGGATAGATCACTATCCTCTAACTACCGCCCAATCAGTCTAACATCAATAGTAGGCAAATTACTGGAAGCAATCATTTCAAACTTTATTCGAAATCACCTGGAGAAGCACAGATTGATCAATGATTCCCAGCATGGCTTCACAAGCGGACATTCTTGTCTAACTAATCTATTAACATTCTTTTCATCAGTTTTCGAATCGGTGGACGAGGGGCACAATTATGATGTGGTATATCTCGACTTTAGCAAAGCCTTCGACAGAGTCCCCCACGAAAGACTAATTAGAAAGGTAGAAGCTCATGGCATCAAAGGTAACATCCTTAAATGGATTTGGGCGTGGTTACAGGACAGGAAACAGCGAGTGAGCATTAAGGCACTAAGTCCCATTGGAGCAACGTCACACGTGGAGTTCCCAAAGGCTCAGTACTTGGACCATTATTATTTATTATATACATAAACGACATAGATATCGGCATAGACAGCAACACGAAGTAAATTTGCTGATGACACCAAAATAGGACGTGTTATTAAATCTGACGAGGACTCGGCAAAACTACAGGAAGATCTAAACAAATTTTTCAAATGGTCTGAAAAATGGCAGATGAAATTCAACGTGGACAAATGTAAAGTACTCAGTATAGGAGATGTAAACTGGGAAACCAGATACCAGATGAACAACGATGCCATAGAGAAATCCGACTGCGAGAGAGATTTAGGAGTAATGATAAGTAGGAACCTTAAGCCAAGTAAACAATGTGTTTTTGCTCGTAACAAGGGTAATAAAGTACTTGGGTTCATACAAAGGAGTGTTAGTTACAAGACTAGCGCGGTCATCCTAAAACTGTATCTTGCTCTTGTGAGACCACACCTGGATTACGCAGTTCAGTTCTGGTCACCGTATTACAGAATGGATATAGAATCCTTGGAAAGAATGCAGAGGAGAATGACAAGACTAATCCCGGGCATTAGGAACCTTGAGTATAGAGACAGGTTAAAGCATCTTAATTTGCACTCCCTCGAGAGACGTAGAGCGAGGGGCGACCTGATAGAGGTGTATAAGTGGAAGGCAGGGCTAAGCAAAGGGGACATTACAAAGGTACTCAAACTATCCAACCAGGAGCGAACTCGTAAAAATGGTTTTAAATTAGACAAATTTAGATTTAGGCGGGAAATAGGTAAACACTGGTTTGGAAACAGTAGTGGATGAATGGAACAAGTTACCAAATATCATCATTAACTCGAATACGCTGAATAGCTTCAAACATAGGTTGGATGCTTATATGAGCAATAGGGGTTGGGTGTAAACGGGACTGCCCAGTATGGGCCAATAGGCCCGCTGCAGTTTCCTCCATTCTTATGTTCTTATAAAACACGTTCATAATAAGATGACAATAAAGGTTCCTACACAACGTTGGTGGAGAAGGAATATTAAATCACAAGAATTGACGACCACCTACTTGGCTTTGAAGCTCCTTTGAAGCCTGATAGGATACCGATAACAATCCTCACCTTTATTTTGAATTAACTTGCATCGTAACGATACACCGAAGATATGTTTCAGTGTACCGAACCACCTCATTTTCTACGAACCTATCTATGGCCATAAATACGATTCATAGATATAATTATTAACTAAGTACAGGGTATTAACTCATAATCCCCTATACCAAGCTAATTGTTACTTATCTTTGAGGTATTTGTGCGGTGCTGGAAGATATTCACTCATCAATTAAGTAAACTGTCTGTAAGAGAATTCCGTGTTTCTTCCACTCTGGCTGTTTCAGAACTGACGTGGCTGACTGGCTGGCTTATGGCTACCCGGTAGTCCCTGGTCCCCTGAGTCTCCTGTCATTTTACACTGACGTCAGTCAGGGATACCAACTACTCAATTAATCATTTAACTATAATAAGAAATTATTTTCATATTGACTTATTACTAACAAATATGCAGTATTTAATGAGTTAGTTATTAATTATTCAGTACAGATTATAAAACAAGTTATTATTTATTGTAACTCCTGAATTAATTTAACGTTCGTAATCAACAAACATGATTGTGTTGGTTGCTCATATTTTCCCTGTTTCTGTTTTGACTTAAGGAGTAGCATTTTATATTATGTACACTAGCCTCTCCTGTCAGGGATAATTTTTCCCATATAAATATCATCATATCCCTATTTATTAAACAGTGTCAGTGCAACCCAATACAATTTAGATTATATACAATCTTAAACTAATTTTACCCTTTCCTGTCAGAGAATACAGTACTGACAGTTCCTCCTCTACAGAGCTCCCACACAAAGCAGAATTTTGTAGTCCATAACTTTTCCAAGACTACTCACTGATTTTTTCCATGACCAATACTTGCTTTTTAGATGATTAAAAATGTGGAACAAATAATATTACTAAAAACGACAAACATATACAATTAAATTTCTACAGTTGTGTTACGGACAATTGGAAAGCCACCATATTCATCTACTTCATTAATGCATAACACAGGTAGTTATTTATTAATATGTTGGACAACACGTGATTTACTATAACATGTTTGGATCACTTGAAGATTAGTCACCTCCAGCTTATGTCACCTGAAGATTAAACTTAAAACTGAGGGTAAGGTTAGGTTAGGTTAGGTTAGGTTAGGTTAGCGTTAAGGTGGATCTACACCAACAGAACATTGTCGGTAACATGTATGGCAACTGTTTTATTAAAAATGTGAAAATTATATGAAAATGTTTGCAACATTAGTGTTGGGAATATTGTTGCCAATATAAATATGTCAAGTAAACTGACTGGTGCGCTTATTTCACCTCTTTTCAGTAATGTTTACTTCTTTTATCTGACGACAATGTTACCAAT